AGCTGGTTTGAACCGTTGACTTTTTGGTTAGCAGCTGAGCACTTAACCACCCCACCACCAAGGCTCCTTTAAATATCTTACCTTAATTAGTAAAGTATATCTGCTTTGAGCATTGCGCTCTTTTAGAGAAGTATCTGTGTGAGACCAAATTAACAATGGCAGCTCGAAAGGTTGGATGGGAAGCTTAGGGGACAGTGAGTTTAAGATAATGGTGGTGGAATAGTGTGGGAAAAGATAGTGAGAATGGTAGCACAGCTTGAAGAAGTAACCAATGTCACTGAATTGTACATGTAGAAATTGTTGAAATGATGTGTATACTTTCACCAAAATTTAAAAAAAGAATTTTTTTTAAATAGTAGGAGGATACATGGATAATGTGGGTATACAGAACTCTTTTGAGGTATTTTGTTGTAAAGCTGGGAAGAGTCCACCTTTTCTTAGCTGTGTGACCCAGACAAATTAGTAAATATTTCTAAACTTCCATTTTCTCATCTTTAGAATAAACAAAAACCAACCCTGTGCCGTCGAGTCAATTCCGACTCATAGCAACCCTACAGGACAGAGTAGAACTGCCCCGTAGCGTTTCCAAGGAGCGGCTAGTGGATTCAAACTGCTGACCTTTTAATTAGCAGCTGAGCTCTTAACCACTGTCGCCACCAGGGCTCCATCTTTAGAACAGGGATAGTCATACTTGCCATATAGGGCTATCTTGAAGATAAAATTTTAAAAAACTATATATCAGGAACTTAGCACAGCAGTGGCACACAGTAAGCATTCAATAAATGATAATTATTATTGTTACTAGAATCATTATAATCCATAAGATTCCGTTTAACTCTAGGTTCAAACACCCAGTATTTCCTGGTAACCACTTGATGGCACCAGACTCAAAGGAGTGCTCCCAGCACCAAAACACGGGCAAGAGCTTTTTCTTGTTCCCTGGTCCTGTCTCCTCAAATTCTGACAATTCCACTCTTCTGCTTGATTCACGATTGCCATGTGGAATCCAAGTGGCTGTTCCACTGGGCTGGGGCATGAAGGACTTGAAATTCAATGCTGTTTCCACATTGGGCAGGACAGACAGGGTGGGGAGCTGTTTGGGTAGCTACAGAAATCTATGAGAGGTTCCTAAGGTTCTCCTTCCTTCACATCTTCCTTTGGAAAGAGTAAAACATGACTGAGTGGAAAAGATTCTGAAGTTAAGTGACAAGAAAGAGAAAGTATGGGGGGGGCGGGAATCAAATGGGGGTGGGGGTGGGGGTGGGACTGAATGAAAAGCACCCTGGGGAAACCCGGAATTACTAATAACTGTAGTTACCAAAACAGAGCTGCCCTTGTAGGAATTTGTCTATCTAATAGGTTGAATACTTTGACTGTCGGAGAACCTTTCCCTAGGATTTTCCCCTAAGAAATCTCTGGGACATGTTAAGATTTTCAGGTTGGCTGAATCTTCCTGTACTGCCCATCAGAATGCCCAAGTTTTCTTCCCAGCTCTATTGCTGAATAGGTATGTGGTTTCAGGCCAGTTTTTCTTTATCTGTAAAATAAGATTTGACTGCTACATTATTTTTAAGAATCATTCTAGGTTTAAAGTATTATGAGTCTATGGGTATCATTGTGCTGAGGATATCAAAAAAGCATTTTCATAAATCATCTTCCATGAAGGCTAAACTACTTGCCATTGAGTAGATGCCAACTCATGGTGACTCCACATGTATCAGAGCAGATCTCTGCTCCATAGGGTTTTTCAATGGCTGATTTTCAGAAGTAGATTGCCAGGCCTTTCTTCCAAGGCACCTCTGGGTAGACTCAAACCTCCAAACTTTCGGTTAGCAGTTGAACATGTTAACTGTTTGCACCACCCAATGACTCCTCCAGTAGGTCTACAGACTCTGTAAGGTTGGAGGTGCAGGAATTATTATTCTTATTTTATAAACAGAGAAAGGGCATTTTGTGGGCAGAAGCAATCAGGTCAGCCTTCTCTCTCTGCAAATGCACATTTACCCAGCAGTGAAATTTGGGAGGCGGATGGGGTGGAGCAGCAGGGCAAAAAAGGCTTATTTACCTGCATGAGAAACTCCCCCTTCTCACCCCTCAACAGTTGCTATGCAGAAAAAATCCAAAACAGCAGTTCTGGAAAGTACCTGCTATTTCCGGGAATGTGAAAGTTTCTGTTTCCTAGAATAAGAAGCTTCCAAGGTTTAAGTCCCTCCCAGTAACCAGTGTTGGCTTTTCAGTGATTGGTGTGAGAAGGGAGGATTAAGTGAGGATGGAGGGTTATTCATTTATTCAACAGATATTTGATTGTCTACTATGAATTGGGCCCTGTGCCAGGTAGAAGATAACAAAGCTCGATAAAATACATGGTTTTCCCACAGGAGCTTAAAGTCTAGTGGGGGATAAGGACAAACAAAAAGAATAGAGTTTAATAAGGTCCCTGGGTGGTGCAAACAGCTTGCTCTTGTCTATTAACCTAAAGGTTAGTGGTTTGAACCTACCTTCATCTGCTTCTGTAAAGATTACAGTCAAGAAAACCCTGTGGAGCAGTCCTACTCTAACACATGGGGTTGCCACAAGTCAGAATCAAATCCACAGCACCAGGTTTGGTTTTTTGATTTAGAGTTTAATAAGAGCCCCTGGGTGGTGCAATTAATGCACTCGGCTGCTAATCGAAAGCTTGGAGGTTGGAGTCCACCCAGAGGCACCTTGGAAGAAAGGCCTGATGATCTACTTCCAGAAACTCAGCTACTGAAAACTCCATGGAGCACAGTTGTACTCTAATACACATGGGGCTGTCACGAGTCAGAGTCAACTCCAAGGCAACAGATTTAGAGTTTAATACGGGCTGTGAAAGAGTTAAGCCCCAGGATTGATAGAAGCACAAGGAAAGGGCACTTTCTCCAGACTGAGGAGATAAGAGGTTTCCTGGAAGACCTCCCACTGGGCAGGGGCATGAAGGCTTTGAAATTCAATGCTATTTGCACACTGGGCAAGGCACACAGCAATCTGTAAGAGCTTCCTAAGACTCCCCTTCTTCTTTCGTATCTTCCTTTGGACAGAGCTAGATGCGAAAGATTCTGAAGGTAAGTGATGAGAGAAATTATAGGTAGGGGAGAATCAAATGGTGATGGGGTAGGGCTGAGCTGTCTCCAGGAATTTGTGGGAAATCAAGGGAGGGTGGAGCAGAGAATGGGGTAAGTAAACACTATATGCAAAGGTACAAAGTTATTAAGGAGGGCAGGAAGTTTCTTGTGGCTGGAGCTTAATGCAGACTAAGGCCAGGCTAACTGGCTGGAAAACCTTGTGTTCTCTGCAAAGGGTTTGAGAATAAAGGGATGAAGGATTTCATAGGAGTGACATCATCCTATTTGCTTTCCAAAAAGAAGTGGCTTCACGGAGAATGACTAGAAGAGGGGAGCCAACGGTAGAGGAACCTCTTTGGAGATGAGACAATCAAATACGACGAAAGAAGGGTATGACAACGGGACTAGAGAGAAAATAGAGCTGTTCAGAGCTGTAAGTAAGAGTTTTGTTTGATCTGATTCTGAATCAGAGATTATGAACATAAGATGCAATATAACTTATTGGTTGAGAATGTGGGCTCTGGGTTAGGCTGGGATATTCGAATTCCAACTCTGCCACTATGTAGCCTTGGGAAGGTTATTTAATCTCTCTGAGCCTCAGTTTTCTCATCTGTACAATGGGGATGATAATAACCAATTTCATAAGGTTGTGGATAAGGAATAAAAGCAATAATCCATGAAAAACACTTAGCATAGGTTCCTACGCATATTAATACGCTATAAACGGTATCAATGTAATTATTAGCACTAATAATTGGAGAATAATGCTGTATCCTCCATACTCCAGTTCCCTTAAAATATCAGACACCAGGAGGAAGGGGGAACAGATACAGAAAGGCACCTTATGAATATGTTATATTGCTTAATAGTATCTCTAAGAACAGATAAAAGATTGTTAAGATAGACCAACAAAATAGTAATGGTGGTTGTGGTGAGACAATGGGTAGTTCTATATTTTCTAATTTTTCTATATGAATGTGTATTGTTGATGTAATAATGAAAAAACATTTTAAAATATATTTATTATGTCACAATACTCTACTCAGCAACAGGCAAAGCTCTGTTCAACAAGGAAACAAGGTATCCTACCTCCCCACCTCCCACGTCCCCCGAAAGCACACCTCCATCATGCTCCAGCTCCAGGAACAACTACTCAGGGGCACAGCCCCAGGGAAAGTCAAAGCAGGAGCTACCCTGGGCGGTGGAGATGGCCATGAGAAAGACCCAAGGTCCTTTGGGTCTCAGTCCTCCAGCTGCCGCTGCGCCAGGCGGGCGTAGACGTCCTGCTGCTTCATGAGCTCGGCCCCATCCAGCAGCTGCCCCTGCTTGAGCACCAGGATCTGGTCAGCGTTCTGAACTGTCTTCAGCCTGTGAGCGATCTTCAGCACCGTTCGGCCCCCGCGGGCTCTCCAGTCCTGCAGCTGAAGAGGGAGGATCATGAAACCTCAGAAGAAGATGGACACCAAAAAAAGATGGACACCACATCCCACTGAGCACCATCTCGTGTCTTATGGTAACCAGTACCATTTGTCATTAAGGTGACTCATGGTGACTCCATGTGTGTCAGAGTAAAACTGTGCGCCATAGGGTTTTCAATGGCTGATCTTCTAGAAGTAGACTGCCAGGATTTTCTTCCAAGGTAGGAAAGAGTGGTAGATGAAGGTCTACACTGCCACTTTCTATCACCTGTACTACTGCAGGTAGAGAAATCGGAGATGTCCCCACCCCCACCGTATTCTCTGTTCCTTCCCCATCCTCAGTCCTCAATCCCAAGAAGGTGCCAATATTTCCATTAGTAGGTCATTCATCCTCCTCCTGCCCAATTCGGCACATGCTGACCACCCTTCAAACATGGTCCCTCGGGTCCTACTCTCCCGTCCCTCCCACCCCAGATTTAAGCTGGTCCCCAGCACTCACCGCCTTCTCACACTCAACGTCCAGGGCACTGGTGGCCTCATCCAGGATGAGGACCTGTGGGTCCCGTACAAGCGCGCGGGCAATGGCCAGACACTGTTTCTGTCCCGCAGCCAACTGACTCCCTCTCTCTCCTACATCTAATGAAATCAGAGAAACACACTTCCTCAGACACAAGTGGCCACAAATAACATTCTTCACCATGAGGAGGAACAAGCGCACGACTGGTATTTCCACAAAAACCAGTTAGGAGATGTGAGGCTCTGGTATAAGGAGGTTTGTGGGGGTGAGGACCTTATGAGGCTGCCTGCATGGAGAAAGCACTACTCTCAGAAAGCATGGTTCTCTGGGAACAAAGACTCATGAACAAGAAAGAGGCTAGAGAATTCATGGTGTTGGGGAAGGAGGGGAAGTGGAAATAAAAGGCAGGTAAGTAGCAAATACAGAGTTACAAGAATATGTTCCATGAGACACCACCCTTACCCCATGAGTAAATTCTATTTTTTCTTTTGACTGGAGGGCAGGCTTATAATTTGCAGAAGGTACCTGTATGCATCCCATGCTCCATTTCCGCTATGAATTTATCTGCACGGGCATCCTTGGCAGCAGCCATAACCTCCTCATCCGTGCAGTTCTCCAGTCCATAAGCAATGTTGTCCCTCACAGAGCCCGAGAAAAGCACAGGCTCCTGCCCCACCAAAACCACCTGTACAAAGCAGATGAGAGCAGACAGCTGTGTGCAAAGTCCCCCATCCCCCAGTACAGAGACCCTCCTGTGTGCCTCCCCTACCTCCACCAGAATGGACCCTTTGTGTTGCTTCCTATGGTTCCGGCCGCCTCCGCATTCTCTGTGCATGCTCCTCTCCTACTCCCATCCCTCTTCTCCCTCCCCACCTACCTTTCTGTGCAGGTAGCGGTGCTCATATTGGGAGATGGGCTCCCCATCCAGCAGCAGCTGGCCCCCTGTGGGCTGGTACAGATTCTCCAGCAGGGCAGCCACTGTGCTCTTCCCAGACCCATTGGGTCCCACCAGCGCGGTCACCTCACCAGGACTAAGGGTGAACGTCAACCCCTGGAAAAGCCAGGGGAGAGTTAGGGGTCAACCTCTTCTTCCTCAAGACCCTTCCCTTTCTTTTCGCATCAAAGGCAAGATAAGCTTCTCAGAGGTAAATGATCTAGAGGCTGCAATGCCTCATTAAGCACGAGTGGCAGGGAGTGGGGGTCCAGGTTCTCTCACTGTGGCCTCTTTCGGGCACCTTGAGCACAGGCTGGTCAGGATGACTGGGATATGCAAAGGAGACATCTTTGAATTCCACATGCCCCTTCAGGGTGGAAGGGGCCCGTGTCCCTGATGGGGGCAGGTCTGGCTGTCGGTCCAAGTAGCAAAAAACCTTCTTAGCAGCTCCCACGTTGCTCAGCATATCTCCCCACATGTATACTAGGCTCTGGAAAACAGGAATGGAAGGGTAGCTAATCAAACGTATCCTCACCAGAATCCAAGTGTCTAATGAGCAAACTTCCCAACTCCTCTGCCATGCTCCCCTCCCCAGCCATTCTCCACCCACAGCCATGCTCCTCTTCTTCCCTCTTACCCAGAAAAGATTTTCTATCTTTCAATGTACAATCTGGATGAATTTAAAAGTGGCACCAACACCTCCAGCACTCCAATTTGCAATATAAAGGCGAGAGAAGTCCATACTCATCCCAACATCATGACTTCTATCCCCAGACCTCTTCAATTACTGGTTTGTATTTGTGCCCAGCTCTGTCTCACCTGACTAGACAGAAAACTCCTTAAAAAAAGGCTCTGTGCCTAACTTACCTTTGCAGTCACTAGAATGCCTGGCACGGTTCTCTACACAGAAAAAATGGTTCACAAATGTCTAGGAAAACTATAAAATAAAGCCCAAGATGAAGTAACTACTTATTTTTGAAAACTAGTAAATATAGGAAAAGACTCAAATGCTTATTCTGCCTTTCCTAGCTAAACTATACCCCTGGGTAACCAAATAGTAGATGAGGGGAAGTTTCCCTTGATAGGTATATTCCAGCTAATAACTGAAGGAATGATACAATATCACAGCTTTGCAGCCCCTAATAATGTAATGGATCTGGGCATTGGGCATCAATTGCTGGTGCCAACCCAAAGAGAAGGCCAGACATTGCGTGCTCCCTGAAGGAAGAGCAAACCCCCACCTAGGAGGTACACTTGTCCTCCAAAAAAAAAAAAAAAGTAAATATATTAAAAAGCCTTAATCTAACAAGCTCTAGATTTATTTACAAACTGACAGGAAACACAGAGACAGAGGAACATACTAAATACTGTCACAGGGAATCAACCAGCAAAATCCAGACTACAAAAAACTCTACAGTACAAACAACACTGTTTCTTCAACAAATAAACTGTAAGAAAAATAAAAAATATATAACAAGAGAGAGCCCTCGTGGTGCAGTGGTTAAGAGCTCAGGTTGCTAACCAAAAGGTCGGCAGTTTGACTCTACCAGCAGCTCCTTGGAAACCCTATGGGGCAGTTCTACTCTGTCCTATAGGGTCACTATGAGTCCGAATTGACTCTATGGCAACAGGTTTGGTTTTGTTTTGTTTTGTTTAAAAATATATACATATATATTAACGTACAGAGACGTGAACTTTATTTGGATCCTGACTCAAGCAAGCTATTAGATATATATACTGCACGTACGAGACAAATAGAAATCAGACCATTATCTGGATATTTGCTGTATTTAAAGAACTGTTGTTAATTCTTTTAGGTATGATAACGGTTTCGTGCTTATATTTTTTAAAAGTGTTTACATTTTAGAGATACATACTGAAATATTTACAGATGAAATGATGTATCTGGAATTGGCTTCAAAATAACACAGGTGAGGGAAGTGGAAAGGGAAATGGATGAAATAAGATTGATCACGAGTTGATCACTGTTAAAGCCAGGTGTCATGGACTGAATTGTGTCCCCCAAAAATATCTGTCAACTTGGCTAGGCCATGATTCCCAGTATTGCGTGACTGTCCACCATTTTGTCATCGGATGTGATTTTCCCACACGTTGTAAATCCTACCTCCAAGTTGTTAATGAGGCAGGATTAGAAGCAGCTATGTTAACAATGCAGGACTCAATCTACAAGATTAGATTTTGTCTAAAGTCAATCTCTTTTGAAATATAACAAAGAGAAGCAAGCAGAGAGACACAGGGACGTCATACCACCAAGAAACAAGAGCCAGGAGAAGAGCACGTCCTTTGGACCGGGGGTCTCTGAGCTGAGAAGCTCCTAGACCAGGGGAAGATTGATGACAAGGACCTCCCTCCAGAGCCGACAGAAAGAGAAAGCCTTCCCCTGGAACTGATGCCCTGAATTTGGACTTCTGGCCTACTAGACTGTGAGAGAATAAACTTCTATCTGTTGAAGCCATCCACTTGTGGTATTTCTGTTACAGCAGCACTAGATAACCAAGACACCAGGTGATAGTTCATTACATTACCTTCTCTTTTTTTTTTTGGCATACGCTTGAAATTCTCCATAACAAAATGAGGTTTTTTTTTTAAAAAGGGAACAAGTAAAGCCCAAGGCCCAGAAGGCCAGAGTGAAGAACACGGGAAAAAAGGCTGCAAGCGCAGGCTCCTCACTCACAAACACATAATTTCCCACATCCTCCTGGTAGAGCAGAAAGGAGAGCAGCCCGCCCTGGGTAAGATCTCCAGCCAGTATCTGCTGCAGACCACAGTTCAGCATCAGCACCTGCACTGCCAAGTGCAGCAGCTGTGAGGGAAGAAGAAAGAGATGAGGCTGAGGAGTCTGTCCATTCCTTCCCCCTCCCTGCCCCTATGACATTGAACAGGACACCAGGACCAAATGCAGGCTCACCATCCTTCCCTCTACCCCCTCCCTGGGCTCTTCCCACCAGCCACTCAGCTGTCTCATCCTCCCCATCTCACCCTCCTTGTCTCACCCTCCGGAAGACCAGGTACAGGGCTCGTTCCAGGTCTCGTTGCCACCACAGCTGCCGGCAACGTTCAAGGGCCTCCCTATAGCGAAGGACCTCATGCTCCTCTGCCCCAAAACTCCGGACAGTTCGCAGTCCTCCAACTGCCTCCCGCACTATCTGCCCTGCTCTCGCCACAGCATCCTGGATCTCCTGAAGCAATGCCTGGAAAAGTGGGGCAGGGGATACAGGGTCCATGAGACAGAAGACAGCAGGCCCATGTCTCATTCCAGCCCTGAGGATACTCCCCAATCTACCTAAAAATATCCCTCTCCCTTACATTTCCTTCAGAAGGAATAACAAGAGTGAAGGAGGGAGGGAACAAAATATTATTGAGCTCTCAATGCTAGGTAGGGTAGGAGATACACGCTCTATTTTTTACCTTCATATAAGGTCATTCATACCACCTCCAGTGTCTGATGAGAAATGGGGGAGTAGCTGGCCAAAGAGCCACAGCGAATTAACAGATGGTGGAGCTGACATTCAGACTCAGGACCTCCTGACTGCACCTTCTACTTTCTCTACACTCATTCGAATTCCTTCTTATGATTATAAAAGGAAAAGTTCTCTACCCTGTGGTTAAGAGCTTGGCTGCTCACCAAAAGGTCAGCAGTTTGAATCCACTAGCTGCTCCCTGGAAACCCTATGGAGCAGTTCTACTCTGTCCTATAGGGTCACTATGAGTTGGAATCGACTCGACGGCAATGGTTTTTTTTTTTTATGGAGAAAGTAAGTTCAGACTCCTTTGAGAATCTGATAAAAGTTATCCTCTCCCCAGAAAAATACACACACGCACACTCTCTCTCTCACACACACACACAATTTTTCATGAGTCTCAGGGGGTCATGGACTGTCTGAAGCTTGTCCATGGACTCCCACCCCACCTCCCAGCTAAGAACTTCTGCTCTAAGGACTGAAAAGACCACTAGGAGAGCCTCTAGCAATGAATGGGACATCTTCTTCCCCTTCAAGTTTTAGTCTCCCCTTGGGGTTCCCTAACATCCACATGTACCTGATGGCGTGAATTGTACACCTTATCAGCTGCTAATGAGAGGGGTACGTTGAGCAGAGACAGGAGGGTGAGTCGAGGTGACAGGCTGAGCATGAAGCTATACAGTCCCACCACTTTCACCAGGCTTCGCAAGAGTACATTGGCGTTTAAAGGAAGCCAGCGACTCATCAAGGTAGTATCCGAGCTCAGCCGTGAGTTCAGCTCCCCTGGGGAAGACAGAGCTGGTGAGGAAACCAAGCACCAAGCATAACATAGAGCCCCCAGAAATTCCCTCCTGACTTCTTCCTCTGACACAGTCCTCTCCTCTAAACACCGCCCCTGATTTGCACAGAGACTGGATGGAGGCTGCCCCACTGCCCTATCCAGGCCCTGGCATCCTGAACAAAGGCAGGAGGAGAGGCTGCAGGTGGCAGGCAACTGAGGAACAAGGAGAGTCCTGGGGGATCCCAGCCCTGGACTCCAGGCCCCACCTGTCTTAATCTCCTGGAAGAAGCCGAGGTCCTGGCGCAGCAGGGAGGAGAAGAGCAGTTCCCGGATTCGCAAGTTGATTCTGGACATGGTGAAGAGGAAGGAGCCACCTCGGCAGCCTGCAGACAGTGAGCTGGGGGGCAAGGGGAGGAAGCAGAAGGACGAAGGGGAGACACGGGCTCAGGGACAGAGGGAATAGGTGAGAAAGGCAGAGGAGAAAGCACAGAATGAAAAGAAATACAAGGTTGGGGAAAGTGTACCAAGAGAGGCAAAAGAGAGGGAAATACGAGAGAGAGACAAGAGGAGCAGAAATAAACCGAGAAGAAAGGAAGACATGATGAGCTAACTAGATGTGAAAACAAAACCATAACACTTCAAATTGATGGATATCTGTGGAGTTCATTCTGTGCTAGACATTAAGGAATACCGTAACGGAAGTGAAAAAAAATCATGGGGGAAAAAATAGCCCAAGGTTTGCTTCTGATCTGGCCTCACTGTTATCCAGGCTTCTCCTCTGTCTTGGTCTCTTTCCTCCCCTGTCCCCAGAGTCCCTCTCCCTAGTCTCAGATACTTCATTACGGGAACTGCATCAATGGAACTACCTGCCCTCCCACTTTCCAGAGCCCGAGCCACACTGTTCCCCATCCCTATCATTCCTCAAGTTGAAGAATTCCTCTTACATCAACCACGTTTTTACAATAAAACTGAAATTACAAATTTTTTACAACAATTTTCAGGAAAAAATATGAACGTATAGAAGTACGTGTTTCAGAAAATACGGGTTTCTAACACAAATTCAGTTACCATATTTAGGAGGCTGTTGGGATAGTCCAGACGTGAAATGACAACTTTGGTGATCACAGTGACGATGGAGAGGAAGGAGCCATGGGAGACAATTTTTGAAAGTAGAAAATAACAAGGCTAGTGTTTGAAAACAAGGAGGCATCAACAATGCTGATGCTCAGGGCTTAGGACACTGGGGGTTTTGTGACTAAGAAGAAGAGGAAGCCACTTTCAAGAGGACCAGGAAGGAGTATGATGCATCTAGAGCTCTGGGCCCATGGGGTGTGAGGTGAGAGTGGGCTATCCAATCAAAGTGTCAAGGGGGCAAGTGAATTTATAATACTGGAGATCAGCACTGGAAATATGGGTCTGGGAGTCCCTGCAGAGATGACCTGAGTTAGCTCAACAGGAAAACTCTTTTTAAAGATCACAATGTTAAGTCATGAGAAAAAGCCCATATTTAAGAGTCCAGAAGAAGAAAAGTTCTCCAGAAGAGGCAGAGTGGATTGGGAGGTAGAAAGGGAGTTCATAAACGCTGAGGAAAGAGATAAAAAATAAGAGGTTATTTCACTACCAAATGCTACAGAGAATCCTGGAGAATTGAGGACTGATTTTTTAGAAAGGCACTGGGATTGATCAATAAGAAGCAGTTGGTTTCAGTAGAGAGTAACAAGTGTGGAATGAAGGCACGATGAAGAATTGGTTTTTTAACAATACGTGTAGTAACTGTTTAATAAGAAGCTACTTTGTTCTGTAAACCTTCATCTAAAGTACAATAAAAAAATAAAAAAAGATTTTTTTTTTTTGGGCATCCTAAGTGAAGCTAGGCCATAAAAAAGAAGCAATATCAAGCACTAGGGCCAGGACTAGGGTGAAGGGAGGAAAGCACTTGCATGACCCTATGTGCCTCACTTGTCTCACCCTAGTCCTGGCCCTATCAGGCAGTATTTTTGTTTGTCTGCTGGTTGGTTGGTTGGTTTTAAGACAGCAGACTCCTGAGTATGTCTGAAAAGAGAAGCGAGAGCAAGATGATAAGCCTCAGATTAAGATCTTCAGGATCTGGCAAAATGAGTTATGAACAGAGGGTCAAGAGGGAAAAACATGCCCAACATGACAAGAGAGATATTTGGAGACAGACTTAGGGGTGGGAAGTAGGGAGGCAGAAAAGAGAAATGGAACTTCAAGGAGACAGAAATGTTGAGAGACATTCCATTTGACACATAAACTCCTTTTATACCACCTTCACCCATGATTGTATTTATCATAAACGTAATATAGACATTGAAGATGTTGGATAAATACGGTAACTGAAGAGAAGAATGAATAGACTGATCAGAATGGTGAATAAATACACACGTTTTAGTTTTAAACTACATATGCCTGTGTACAAAAGGGAATGAAAATGGGGTTAGGAAAATGAGGGCCCCTTTAAAGACTTGGATTAGCTCATTGGTGGTTCACTGGTAGAATTCTTGCCTTCCATGCAGGATAACCTGGGTTCAATTCCTGGTCAATGCACCTCATACACAGCCACCACCTGTATGTCAGTGGAGGCCCACATGTTGCCATGATGCTGAACAGGTTTTAATGGGTCTTCCAGACTAAGGCAGACTAGTTAGAAAAGTCCGGCAATCTATTTCCAAAAATCAGTCAGTGAAAGCCCTACGAATCACACTGGTCTGATCGAGAACTGGTCATGTTGATGGCACAGGACCAAGTATCATTTCCTTCCATTGTGCACGGGCCAACTCGACAGTAGCTAACAACAATGAACATAAACATCTGGGGCTAGCAAACGGACCCAACTGCCCATCACCTACCTCCCAAAGGAGAAGAAGCACATGAAAAAGATGGCACTGGTAAAGGCTTCAGGGTCAAAGTCACCTCCCAGGATGTCAATCACACGACCAGAATAGTAAGGAATTAATGTCTCACCTGAAAAAGGCATGAAGGATAAGAGATGAAAGTGCTAGTGCCAAGGGCCTTTTCCCACCTTCAACTCGCCATGCCCTCTCCCTACTCACTCCAAACGGCCATAACAAGGAAGAAGAAGGCAGCAATGAGGAAAGGCAGGTCTGGCCTAGAGAGCTTCAGCAGCCTCCACATCAATGCTTTGTTCTCCTGGCCCTGCTTCCTCTCCTGGGCTGAGGCAGGGGCTCCCCCAGAGCTCAGTATGGCCCATAATGCCCAGCTTAGCGCTGCAGCCCCATAGCTGGCCAGCAGCCAGCTCCAAGGGGCTGAAGCCACTCGGACTGGGGGTGCATGCAAGGCCCCTGGGACCAGGGCCCTCAGCGAAAGAAAAGTGGGCATCACCAGGCAGAGCAGGGGCAGCAATGTCCCCCCAAATCCCAGCAGCCTTCCCAGCTTTAACAGCCCTCCAAGTCGCAAGGCCCCCTCCAGCCATAGGCCTGGAAGGCCTCCGGGAAGCAGAGCCCCCAGAGTCCCTTGAAGCACCCAAAGAAAGGCCGAGTCCAGCAGCAGCAGGCAGACCCAGGGTCTCAGGTCAAGGCGCGGCATGGTGCTACCTGTGGGTAAAAAAAAAAAGTCCGTTATGTCTGACTCACGGCAGCCCCCTGTGTTATAGGGTAGAACTGAGCTCTAATAGGGTTTTTTTGCTTGTAATCTTGATATAAGCTCGATGGGTTCGAACTGCCAACTTTTCGTTAGCAGCCGACTGCAAAACGTTTGTGCTACCCAAAGAGAAGGTGCGAAATTAGGGAAGTGGAGTCCCAGTTCTTGTCCCTATCGCCTCACCCCCATCTCACCCAACCTATCGGCTGAAAGATCCCCTGGCTACCCCGTGCTCATCAGTTCCCTCCTACTACAGAAGGTCTTGCTGCCTGTCAGAGGGAGATGGGGAGCCAGACCATCAGGAACCACCTCCTTTAAAAAAAAAGAAACTTTTCCCTGACAGCCTTCCCCCACCCCAACTTCCACCTGCCGCCGCCGAGTTCCAGTCTGGCGGCCCCTGCTCGGCGCCGGTCCACTCCTCGCGGTCCACAGGGTCGGGAAGCGGGGCGCGTGGGTGGTGGGTTGGGATGCATCCCTCACGGCGCTCCGGTTTTCTATACTCACGAACTCACCAGAGGCGGCTTGGGGACTGCAGCTCCAGAGGTCTTCGGTCAGGCGCTGAGCTCTGAAATCTTCCGTTCCAGCCGCCCCAACTTGGCGTCCCCCTTATCAGGGAGCGACGCTCTCCAACCGAGGGCATCCGGGCTTGTGCCACTTTCGCTTTCTCTTCCTTCACCACGCCCTCGTTCAGGGCGGAGCCGCCAAGAGAGGGCGCGCGAGACTGGCAGATCACAGAGCCAGGCTCGCGGATGCTTGTGCGCCCTTGGCCAGGACCCTGAAATGTCTCACCCGTAACAGCAGTTACTCTGTAATATAAAACTACTGAAATTTTTTTGTAAATGTCATTAGGTAAATTATTCTATTTCAAGAATTGAGATTGTTTATAATTGGAGAGCCACTGGATTTTGTCAGTTACAACCTCAAGATCTGAAACTATTTTGAGAACTGCCGGCTTCCCCTGTCCAACCTTCAGCTTTAGAGGGGGGGAAAAAGAGAGCCGGACTCAGCGGGAGACACGAAGGACTTCGCCTAAATAGAAAGCTCTAGTCACTCTCAGCGGAGCCTTGGTAGTGCAGTGATTAAAAGCTTGGCTGCTAACCAAAAGATTGGAAGTTGAATCCCAGCCACTCCCTGGAAACCCTGTGGAGCAGTTCTGTGCTGTCCTATAGGGTTGCTGTGAGTTGGAATCTAGTCGACCCCAACTGGTTGATTTGTTCGTTTGTTTTTTAGTCACTCTCACCAGTGCCTAGGGGTATTTCCAGTTACAGATTTTGAGTGTAGGTGGCCCTTTGTCTTTATTCTCTTTCTCAACAGGGCACCTTGAGCAAGATACATGCTCAGAAGCTTCTAAATCTGTTCTCTAAATTATGTTGGGAGCACCTACTGTATGTGAGGGAAATCCCGGGCACTGGACTTTGTGTTTGGGTCTACTTTAACATTGGTTAAAATAGGCTTCTGTGGGTCTTACCTGATCCAGTGTCTATGTATGGAGCATGCAGATTTGTTTACTCCAGAAATAACTCTTCAGGATGGAACTACCTTCCAAACTGGAAAACTCCCCAAAGAAAGGCTCACTTGGGTTCCAAACCACCCTTTTGAAAAATTACTGGTGTGACTACCAATGAGTCACTTAAAGTTTAAAATAAGGGAGAGGGTATTTGAAGTAGGGGATTACTAAAATTGCTCCAACTCTGTCCATTTCTGGGATTGTAAGGATCTCTCCCTAATGAAAAAAAATACCACCACACTCAGCTGCTCCCTGTTTTCCAGCTTTTACCTGGACTAACTCTCCTCTGAGAGGCACCATCTGTCACTCCAACATAATTCAGAAAATCTCATGCCTTTTTCTCTGACCTGGTTCTTTTACTTTTTCTTCATATTCCCCACTTCAGAGAGTCTGCCTTATCCTTTCTTTCTCTTTAGTCATGGTCCTGTCATCTGGCAATGAAGTGTGACACATCATGAAACTGAATCCCTAATATATCCATCTTCATATTCAATATCCAATATCTCTAAGTGCTACTTGGGGTGAATAGTAAGGTGTTTACAATTATCACACACATTGAGGTGGAAGCTTTTTCATCCCACTCTACAAAGTTAAAAACAGTTGTTGTAGGTGCCCTACTCCCAAATACCCAAACCACTAACAACAGACCACATAGGAGTCTCCAGTTTGTGTCCCTATAGAAAAGATCTTAATCTAAGTAAAACTGCAAAGAAGTGATTGTAGACAATGATCAGCCTTCCTGAGGTCCTAGAGAGGTGAGTATCGAAGGAAAACCCAGGAGAAATAGTTGGGGAGATCCCATTTCTTGGGGAACTGAAGTTTTGATAGGGGTTCAAATGTTTTCTCCAGGAAAACCAACCAGTTGCCATCAAGTCAACTCCGACTCATGATGACACCATTGTGTCAGAGTAGACCTGTACTCCATAGAGTTTTCCGTGGCTGATTTTTTGGAAGTAGATTGCTAGACCTTTCTTCCGAGGCACCTCTAGGTGGACTGGAACCTCCAGTCCTTCTGTTAGCAGTTGAGCAAATTAACCGTTTGCACTACCCAGAGACTCCTCTCCAGGAAATACCTCTCTTTATTTCCTGCTCTTCCCCCCATACCTCCTAACAACCACAGCCCCAACCCCACTCAGCCACAACACAGACTCATTTATAACTGTTTTCCTTTATTGTGCTTAATGGGACACCCAGAAGATGCAGGGTGGGGGCGAGGTGCTCTCTGAAATAAAGAACATACAGAAGGAGGAAAACCCTGCCAGCTCCCACTGGCCAACAAGCCAATTTCTCTGGGCTCAGGTTAGGCCCCTCCTTCTCCTGGAGCTTAAGCTGACCCAGTTTCCTGAGTCGGCAAGGCTCTCCCAGAAGAGACCTGCCCAGCTCTGCCACCATTACTGATTGGTCTCCCGATACTGGTGCATCAAGTCACTGACATCTGTGCTTTCCACTTTCACCCAACCATCTTCCTTCATGTGGTACACTGTGGGCAAATCGGAAAATAACATGGAGTCACCTTTCACTTCGGCACATTCCTGTAATGAGGTTTTGTTAAAGGTGGCAACAGCACATATACACACACTCAAAGCCTTCAATGCCCCTCTTCCGACTCTGAAAACCTCTTCCCACTCTGCACCGCCCTCCCCCCCTCCCCCCAGTCTCCCAGTCTTAATCGTCTCCCCATGCCACCCCCTGGGGCATGGTGGTTGTAGCATTGGTCTCTTACTATTGACAACTCCTCCAGAATAGCTGTCTCGGTGGGTGGCATGAACAATAGCCCTGCGGCCAAGGTCATAGGCCTCTTCAGGGCTAAGATTAGGCCGATAGCCACTGTCCATGACCCCATAGGCATAAGTGTTCCCACTACCAGTGGAGAACATATTTCCTGAGAGCCGAGTCCCGTTTTCATCCACATAGTAGAGTCCAGGACCCTATAGGATGAAAGAAAGTTCCAGGTTGAAATTGATGAGGGAGGTGTTGGTAACATTGAGATTCAAGTGTAAACCATAAAAAGCGTACAAAAGAATGAAAATCACCACAGAACATTTGAGTGAGGATAGCACTTTGGTAACAATCATAGAACTTTGGAAATAAAAAAGGAAAAACTCACTTAGAATCAACTGCTTTATCAAAAGAGACAAGCTTATAAAACATACAAGCTTGGTCCACACCTGGGCCAAGAAATGGCCCATAGATACACTGGAACAGTTCTGTAACCAAGTGTTTTACATGGCATGGAGCTTGTAGGGGAGGGAATGGGGGTGTACAATGGGGAAAAAGATTTCTCACCTATGGGTGGAGAACATGGGGAATGGAGAGTACCCACCTTCTTGTCCCAGCCACAGATCATGCTGCGCATGGAGAGGCCCATGCCCCGGTACTGGCACATCATGTTAGAAAGCAGTTTGGAGGCTGCTGATACTGAGATTCGTTCCCCATTCCGCAGGTAGTACAGCCTGGGTCAGGATGACAGGGAGAACTTACAGATGGCAGGGGAAGGTTAGCTCTCTGAGTGGTCCACTTGATGGGGCAAAAAATGATTGGAGAGATAAGCCTTTGGAAGGAATTATTTTGCAGGATATAAGGAGCAGGAAGAGATTTGGAATTTAAAGTACCTAAAATACAAAAAGCAACCCTAACAAATGATATTTCCCACCAGGGCTGATGGTGTCAGTGATAAATAACTGGACAAATTATCTGGCTCATTAGCAGGAGCATAGGCTGAGATGTGGGAGGGGGGTTTTATCACCAAAAGGCTACTGTGTGAAATACTATATTAGCTCTAACAAGAAACACAGAGGAAAGGGTGAGGAGCAGTGATCTGGGGCATCCAGGGATTGACCACTAGGCTTAGAAAGGGAGATGAGAAGCCTTGCTCACCTGCACTCCTTGGCCAGCAGACGCTCCCAGTACTGACAGTCAGCTGCGCAGCCAGACATGGTGCCAAGCAGGTAAGGGTTAATCTCAATCACCTTGTTCACCCGTAAGTTGGCTGGAAAAAGACTGAGTTTTGAGAGAGGGATAATGACCCCACAGCTCTCCCTGTGTGTCCTAAATCAATATCTGTTTCCGATTTGGTGTAAATGTTGGGCTCCTGCTGAGAGGAGGGTCCAGCTCCCCAGAATCTGCCTGCTGGAGCACACACACTTACCAATGTAGCTCCCAGCGGAGGCCCGGGAATCCACTGCCACAATCACTCCATGCTGGAACTTGAAGGCCAGCGTGGTGGTGCCATGGGCCATCTCAATCTGAACGTTCCTTTCTCTGTCCCCACCCAGGGACCGGAAGAATTCAGTTGGCTAGTAAGAGTAGAGAAAGGGGCACTGAACGCTTTATGGCAGTAGGCTCCAGGAAAAAGTTTTAGAGAGTATGGAGGTGAGGAGATATGGAAAAGTTCGCCAACCATGAATAAATACAACAGTTAATAACCAGTCTCCAGGAGGAAATGGCTTGCGAGAAGGAAAAGAAGAAGCACATGGCACCAACTTTTTCCATTTTCCAGTGCAATAAAAATGAAAGCAAGCAAATGCTACCATAACTGAGAATTTAAGGGTGACTGTAATGTTTTTGGCATTCATAGCTCATTTGACTATTATATTAATAGCATCCCCATTTTACAAAAGAGAGGTCTGAGACCTAGACTGATCCAAGTCACACAACAATGAGTTGCGGAGGCGAGGCCGGGCAAGCCACCAAAGTTCACAGGTTTTCCAAGACTCTACACGGCCCTCTATTACCATTTGATAAGCCCGTGAAAAAGGCTTCGTGATTTGTGTGCGGTGGAAAAAGGGCAGGGAGACTTTTCTTCCGCTGGCAGCCCCAACCTTACCTCTAAGTCTTTGTCCATTCCCTAACCTGCACTTTCAAACCCTTGGGCGATCAGTCCTCCAGCCCCACGTGGTTTCTCCCCGGGGTCCCGGCCTGGACCTTGCCCTCTGGGCCTAAAGGACGCCCCCTAGCGCGAGCTCCGCCGCGGGGCAGTCTCAAAGCAGCCCCTCCATTCTTCTGCGCCCTCCCTGCATCCCCTCGGGGTTCCCAAACAGCCCCAACCTGCATTCCCCGGGGGAGGGCAAGCTCCGGAGATCGCTTAGAGAAACTGTAGTGTCCCACGTCCGACCGGTGCCTGCTTCCCACGCCGGGGAGAGCCCAGTCTTCGCGCTGCCCTCGGGAGGCTCCGCACACCTCCAAGAGCGCCATGATCGCCAGCACCGGAGACCTGTCGGCTCTCGGAGGAGGAAGTGAAAGCGAAAGCCTCAGTCCAAAGGGGAGGGAACCAGAATTTTTTTTTCCACATCCCCCTGCCCTTTCCGAGAAGGGACTGTGGGTGACCGGGGGCCAGGAATATCATGTTGGAGACAGGCGTCTGTTCTCTGGCTTCTTGGAGGTTGAGGAAACGATGGGTAGTAGACTGTTGGAAGGAAGGGAAGGAGAAGAAAGAGGTTACAGCGAAAGACATCTACAGACCGGGCATCCTATCGAAATGTTGAGGGGATAGCGTCGTACCCTTAAAGGCACAGCCTCAACCAGAAAGCTGAAAGTCAGCAGACGGGCCGGGAGCAGTTTCACCTAGGGGGAGGAGGGCTCGCAAGAGCATCATTTCATAAAAGTAAGGGAAAGGCTCGGAGTATGTGGGAGTTTGAGTCTTGAGGACAAGTCCTGGGGCAACCAGCAGCAGCCTACACCCAAGTGTTACTGTAGGGGAAATGGGAGCACCAAGGAGAAGGTGCAATCTCTGAATCTTTCAACGTGGTTCTCATAGGCCCCCACCCCACCCCATCCGCACCCCGTTCAACGATCTCCCTAACCTGCAGCCACCCACAAGAACAGGCCCCTTCGGCCCTTTCCTCCTTGGGTAATTCTTACTTGGCTGAGCACTACTGAGTTAACGCCTCTAAACTCCGCCTCTCCTTACAACCTGTGTGGGCCTAATCTGCCCAGCAACTGTTAACGTCACAAGACTCTGGCCCTACCCGAATGGAAGGTGTACGAAACAACCACGCCTCCTACTCTGAGATTACCCCAGCAGGTGCTGTTATTTCCGAGCTGGGTGAGCCCTTCACAGAAGAACTGGAGCGCGCGAGGTGGTGAAGAAGGGTGAGGCCTCGCTCTCCCCCTATCCTCCACCTCAGAAAGTCCATGGTTCTGAGCTGCAGCTGCTGGTACCGTGGAGGGCTCTGTCTGGGCTCTTGCTAGTCATGGTTGTCGGGGGGAGGCGGGTGGTGGCAGTGGGAGCCACAGGAAATAGAAAACTTAAGGGAGAAGATGGTGCATTTAGGGCTGTGAAACATGGAAGATGCTAGAGGAGGGAGACAGGAGGACCCTGAAAAGTGTGCTGCAAAAGCTGTTGAGCTATTAGGTGTACCAGAAACACACTAGAAACCACTGTACAAAATACCCATTTTATTATAAATATCAAGAATCCACAGTTCAGAGGTCAACATAATGCCTTTGATTGTATTAGAAAGGAGCTGATTTCCCCTTTCTGCATATTCTCAATATTTCTCATTTCCAGAGTGCTATCCACACCTGGCTCTAAACCCAGTGACACTAAGGAGTTATAACCACTATGGTCATGGCATTATCAAGAGGGACTCGGAGAGAAAAATTCTGCTCATGGCAGAATTTCAGGCATCATCAAGGTTACATGTTAGGAAGTAACTCCTAGAAGCAGCTGCCTACCCTACCAGTGATAAGATCTTTGTTCCTAAATTCTCCACCAGGAAGAGGAGAAGAAAAGAAACAAAAAAAAAAAACGGGGGTGGGGAGCGTGCAGGTCCAAGAAGTCTCTCATTCTGGAGCATCTGGCCCCTCAGGGGCCTGCACCATGGCCCAGTAGCGTCCGCCATTCTCCATGAGCTGCTGGTGGGTTCTTGCCTCTGAGATGGTACCCTCTTCCAGAAAGAGGATTTGGTTAGCCCGCTGCACCAAGCTTAGACGCTGAGTGATGAGAAGCACAGACCGAGAGAACCGATGGGGGCTATCATACAGGAGCTGCTCCACCTGAGAAAAGACGTAGATTCTGTCAGAGCTGCGGGCCACTCCCAAGGAAGACAGCTGTGTTTCAAGGGCTGGGACAGACCTCAGCAGAACCACTGCCACCTCTGCCAACAAACCCCGAGAAGACTTGAAGATTCCTGTTCTGAGTGCTTCTCTGTCAAATCTTTGTGTTAAGGAATAATTTCATGAGGTGGCAAAAATGGGACAAAAGTAAGAAAGTTCTACAGTGAAACCCATAGGAGATGAGTGAAGGCTACTGAATAGTCTCTCCTCTACTCATGAACTGGGAATTTTTATATTCTGTTTTAAGGAAATACAATTTAGTGGTAAAGAGCATGAGGATTTAAGTCAAGCAGACCTGAATTTTGATCTAGGTTCTGCTGCTCAGCTGCTGTATGAGCTTGAAATGGTTATTCAACCTTTCTCAGCCTCCATTTTGCCATCTGTGTAATGAGGATAACAACATCTAGATCACAAGGGTTTATGATGAATACAGGGGTGAAGTAGTATATGTAAAGGGCCTAGTACCATATCTGGCACTTACTAAAAGCTCAGTTAATTTTAGTTAATATTATTAGGATGGCCTTTTCTTATGCTTGGCTTCAGAGATTCAACATCAGTAGATAGTCTCTTTTAACTTGTTCTAGGTGTCTTGAGGAGAGGCTATAGGAACTGGGTGATGTGGAGAAGCTAAAGGGGCTGAGAAAATTGCAAGGACTGGTTTGGATAATTTATGATGTTAGTATGACTAACATGGGATGAGTAAAGGAAGAAAGACTGGGTAGGATATAGGCATTAAGCTGACTCTCTCACCCGTGACTGATTGTCTGCATCCAGGGCGCTGGTGGCATCATCCAGGATGAGTACGCGTGGTTTCCGGATCAATGCTCGGGCCAAGGCCACTGCCTGTCGCTGACCCCCTGATAACTGGCCCCCAGCCTCGCCTACCTCTGCAGAGACAAGAGCCAAGGTGACAGCTGAATAACTACATGTGTGTACAAGTGCAACTGTGTGCGTGCACACACACACACAAAGGACCAACAGATGCATCTAAATAGGGGAGGTTTTGGGAAGATGAATGGAGTTCTGAGAATGAAGGAACCATAGGTACAGGATCTTGTTGGAACTTCAAATTGATGTCACTGGGGCAGAAGGAATTAAAGAATGAAAGCAAGACTGTTGGGGTTTCAGTTATTTGGGTAGTGAGATGAATGGAGACAGTACCTGTGTTGTAGCCCTGAGGGAGTACAGATATGAAACTATGGGCTCCAGACTCCTTTGCAGCAGCTGTGATTTCTTCCATATCTGGCTCCTGGGTCATACCATAGGCAATATTTTCTCGAAAACTTCTTCCAAATATCTGTGGCTCTTGTCCCACTGCAGCCACCTGGGATGAAATACGATAAATATTCAGAACAAGGAATACAGGTGAATTTTTATCTTGGGATGCAAGACTCAAAATCTTTATTGAGATCATATTACAACATCACACACCCTCTCTCCGGATGACACCCTATCACCACCCAAGGTTTTCTACCATTCACTAATCCTCCTTTCAGAATACTCAGTGAGAATGGTCTTCTTACTTGATGCTCTCCATTCCCCTTATGCCACCTTCTTACTCACTTGTTTGTGCAGATAGCGGTGCTCATACTGGGGAAGTGGCTTCCCATCCAGCAGCAGCTGGCCCCCTGTGGGCTGGTACAAATTCTGCAGCAGGGCAGCCACTGTGCTCTTCCCAGACCCGTTGGTCCCCACCAGTGCAGTCACCTCACCAGGACTAAGGGTGAACGTCAGCCCCTGAAGACCAGAGAGTCACACAACAAGAGACAGACTGAAGCCCTTAACTTTGGGAATATCATTGTCTTGTTACATAGCATGATGTCTTACCCCAGAGAAGAAAGGAGAAAAATGGGAAAATATAACAACCCTCCAAAGAATAGAGATACAAGATGAAGCAAAGACTCAGCACCACTATGCCACACACTTGATGTCAGATACCACCAGAGAACAGAAAAAAATCACATTCCGCCATGAAAAGAAAAAGGAAAGATGGAAAAATGGAGACACAGATTTTGCTGCAGCAATTCCTTGAGATGCTAGAGCCTTCTCCCTGAGAGTTTCCTCTTCTATTCTTGGAAGCCCAAACTGGTTCTTGTGTTTGGGGAAGCTTTGTAAAGCAGATGATACTTATCTTAGCCTTTGAAGGGTTAGGAAGGATCTGCGCTTGGTAGGCTGAGGACTGGAAGAAAATTTAGGATGGTAGAGTTGAGAGTAGGGATGATGGGATACAGGCATTGGTAAGTTGTACCTTCAGCACTGGAACATCTGGCTGGGTTGGGTAGGCAAAGGAGACATCCTGGAACTGGACATAGCCTTCCAAGTTTAAGGAAGCCAAAGGACCGCTGGCTGGGCAGCAAGGGGTCCGGTCCAGGTATTCAAATATTTTCTCTGAGGAGCCCACAGCCTTCTGTACACTAGGGTAGGTGTTGAGCAGAACCTGGAGGGGAGATATGAATAATGATAAGGAGGTGGGGAGGCCTCATCTGCTTGCCAAGGTTATGTGATATAAGAAGGATAAATGGAAGGAAAGGAACACAGTTGGTATTGCGATGGGGGAAGGGAAAGCACTGGGGAGTGAAACTGGAGGGACCTCACCTCAATAGCTGTGGTGAACTGGATCTGGTAGAGAACAAATGCAACAAGGTTCCCACTGCTTACAGTCCCGCTTGTCACCAGCTGCCCACCGATGTACAGGATTCCCACCTTCAGCAACATCCCTGAGATCTGTGGATAAACCACAAAGAAAAGGGATTAGGGGAGCAAGATTCAAGAGGGGACATAAAGAATCAAAGACCTTAGCAACAAGGAGATATAAAGTCCCCTTCTCCCAAGTAACAGCAGCCACTCAATAGGTAGAAAGGAAGAATGAATCAGAGACCCTATGGAGTCATTGTCATCATCACCATTATCACCTATGTTTGGGTAGCATTTCACTCTTCACAAAAGGCTTTCGTGAACTTGATGTCATCCGATACTCCGATCAAGGCCCCTATAAAGAAGGTCATTATCACCCCTATTTTTTAAAGTGAGGAAACAGCCTCAGAGAAGGTAAGTTACTTGCCCATGGCCACAGAGCTAGTAAATGGCAACACTGAGACAAGAACTTTTGATTCCTGGTCTAGTTCTCTTTCCATTACATCACAGATGCCCCTCATCCCTGAGTCTCTCCTGACTCTCACTAGCACATTCACACCATTCCAACATGAAGCGAGCCCAGGTGCAGGGATTTATGGCTCCCTGAGCTTCCCTTGAGAAGCAAAGCAAGGCTCAAGAACTGAAGACACAACTCCCTAAAAAAGGGATTGGGAGGATTTTGCATACCATAGTGAAAGAAGTTATCTAGAATCCCTAAAAAGAGGGAGGGGGTTAAGGACATTGAGTAGGATAATTGAGCATCAGGTTCCCAGTAGAGAAAGAGTTGGGAGCAAGGTCATGGGAAAGAGAATGGAGTTGAGGCATCTCAGGGACAAAGGAATGGGCATTCATTTCCAGGTGCTCACACTGGTGGTCCAGTAGGTGACTGCATAAGCCAGTGCCTCTTGCTTGTTGAGTGTCTTCATTTCCTGTAGCTTTTGCCTAAACCTCCGGTCCTCACCCTCCTCGTTGGCAAAGCTCCGGACTGTAGGCATAGCTGACAGGGCCTCAATGGCCACCTGGCTAGACTCTGCCAGAGATTTCTGCACACGTACTGCCAGCAACTGTGGATACATGAAAAGGAGATGTCACACAGGGTTAGAAAGCCATCAGGGACTCCAGTACCTGAGTTACCTGGTTGGAGATTAAAAGTAAGAAGGGGCCGAAAGGTAAGTGAGAAAAGAATAGGACACAGGCATACCCCCTTGACACTAGATAGATACAAGGGAGAGGCGATAACTTAGAAGGGGCTGCGGGTCATATTCTTAAAGACATGTTGGGGGCAGAAGTTAGAAAAGAAGACACAGGGACTAGGAAGATCAACAATGAGCAATCTAGGAACATAAACTGCAGGGACAAGGAGTTCCATGAAGATGGAGAATCAGTGAGGGTACCAGGAAAGTTGTACTCAAAGAAATCTGAGAGAAACTGAGTCTTCCAAGTCTGGAAGACAAAGGGTCCATGTGGTTGAGCCAACTTTCTGAACATACCTGCTCCCATTTTCCCAGCTTCTTAGGCAGAAGGAAAAGCAGAGGCAGGGTGACCAGGGTGACCATGGTGAGGGTCAGGGACTCCCAGAGCATGAGCCCCAAGAGACACAGCCCACGTACCAGGTACCACATCAACAGGTTCAGCTTCTCACTCAGAGACTCACTCAGGGTGGATGTGTCTTCTGTTACCCGAGATGTGATGGCACCTGCCAGAGGTTGGGGAGAAGAGTGTGGAATGAATAAGATGGGTTCCAATTGATGAGAGGGACTAATACCAATCCAGGGTGCCAGGAGTAGGGGTGACAACATGGTATTTTAAGGAGGCTGGGGCAAACAAGGTCATATAGAAGTATGGGGACATTTGGGAATCTCAATGCAGGGAAAAATGAGTATTAGAGCTGAAAAGCTTGGCTAAAGACCTTCATTTTAACCATGAGGAATTTGACGCCCATGTAAATTTCTATTTCTCTGAAAGATTTCTGTTCCTTAAAGAACTTGTATATCCCATGATATACACACAGGCAGAAAGGGTTTAAGCTGGTTGTATAATGGAGATGGAAAGGAAGAGACGGTGTCTATAGCCAGCACTGCATTGGGAATCAAGAGACTGGGGTTCTTCCCCCAAGCTTCTCTCAATCCATTAGGTGACCATGCAATTTTCAGCATTTTGAGTCTAGCGCTCAGTTTCCTTCTCTGGAAAGTTTGGCATTAAGACTCCAAAATTTCCTGGTTTGAAATTCCATAGTTTTTATCTAATGATATACAGGGATAGATTTATGGGAAAATCCTGAATGGAAAAACTACATTTTATAGAAGGTAAAAAGAACAATTTTTGTTCAGGCTGTAGGTATACCAAGTATAAGAAATAACAATGTATGTGTAAAAACAAGAGACAGAGAGAGATATCAAAATTATAAGTAAAAGAGGATGTATGGGGATATAAAGACTATATGAATCTATAATGAAAGAGTTTTGTGAGAAACCTGTTTGGTTCTGTTGGAAAAACTCTGTCTCTTGGCGGAGAACAGCCTGAAACACATCCCCTTGCAGGCGGCTGTGCATGTGGCCCATGGTACTGCCATAGATCCCATCACCCAGGAATTCCAGCACTGCACTAGAGAGAAAGGAAGAAAAAGGGTCAGGGTGAGTGTTGAGGGGATGGAGAGAGAAGGTCCCAGGTATCCCCACAGACAACTCCTTATTTCTCTAGAATGGAATCTCAGCCTTCCATCCTCAGCCCCCAGACCTGGCTATGGTGAGAAGGGACATAAAAGTTATGTTTCGGGTAAAGGTAGGAGCTGCCCCATCTTGTAGAACCCAGTCAGCAAGGCGGCCAGTGAAGAACGGAATGGCCATCTCCCCTGGAGTGGAAAAGGAGAACTCGGTCAGTCACAAATATTAAGTCTAAGCATGTCACCTCCAACCAGACAGCCCCCCATAACATTCTCTTCCACCCTCACCATTATCCTTGAGGGCAGGGGCAGAAAGAAGACACTGGGGCCAGGATTCCACACCTGAATAAGAGGCTCTGCAACTCACAACCCAAGACCTTTCAGGAGTTTAAATAGGAAGCCTCGAGAATCATGGGGTAAAATGCCCTCTTGTTAGAGATGAGGATACTGCTACCCCAGAGAAAAAGACTTGCCCACGGTGGCCGAGCAAAGTAATGTCTGGGGCAGGACTGGAGTCCATCTAATGTTCTTTCCTCTACACTGGAGTGGTCTCCCCAAGACCCAAGCTAGGTCGCCTTCCACCTCATCCACACTTCCCAGAACCAACACTACCCTGCTCCACCGACCTAATTCCTGCCTTATCCCCTTGCGTGCTACCCTCTGCCCCCTTACCGAGACAGGAGAAGATCAACAGGACCAGAACCAGCGGGTAACGGCGTATCTCCGGGCCTATGCAGCGTAGTAGTCGAGTAACCACATCTCCAGAACCCCCCTGTCCGCCGTGCACCCACAGGCTCTCGAGTTTGTGCCATAGGACCGCTGCGGGAAGCACCGCTATGTAGCTGAGGACGAGGGCGTCCGGGCGACTTGCCCAATGCAGCAGTTTGGTGCTGTCACTGTTCCTGGGGACGCCCCACGAGCCCAGTTCTCGAAACAAGGCAAGTCCCGGCAGGGCCAAGCCCAGTGCCGCCGCCAGCGGCTCCAAAGCAGCCAGCCAGCCCTGGCCTTGTGCGCTTTCGCTCTTGGAGTCGGCCGTGGCCCTGAGGACCCCGCGGGCCCCCAGCCACAGCACTGCCCAGCGGCCCAGGCCCACTGCCCAGACCTGGAGCAGCGGTGGCACCGTGGGCGCCAGCAAGAAGACTATGCCGGGCAGCGCTCGCCAGAGCAGCACCCAGTCCACAAGAAGCAGCACCGTCGCCCCCAGCCACGCGCCGCAAGTTCGGGGGAGGAGGAGGCACCCGTAAGGAGCAGGGGACCCTGAACTGGCCATTGGCGCGCAGGCGCTGCTCCGGGTCCTGTCCCGGCCCGGATTCTCCGATGTCCCCGCTGGGTCAAATTCTGTCGGAGCCTTTAACCGAGCCGGCGCTGGGACTGCTGGCTGGAGGAGGGAGTGGGACAGGCCAGGGCGGGGCTCCCAGAAAGCCCGGGGAACCGGCTGAGCCTGCGAACTCTGGCGAGAAGAGCTGCGGTTTAGGGGAAAAGGGAAATCGAAAGCGGCCGCCGGCTCGCTTGGTCCGCCCAGTTCCAAACGCGGCCCGCCCAGACTATTTTGGGAGCAGGCATTGAAATCAGTTCTGGGGTTCTGCGGAGCAGCCCTAGTGCCCCATCTTCACGCATACCCTTCCCTCGCCTCCCGACTTGTCCAGCGTAATCCCCTTTCCAGGACTTCCCCACTCCCGTTTCATTCTGGGCTCTTTCGTCACCTGTCTCCGGGCAGATCTGCCCCGCACGGGTTAGCAACCCGCGGGAAGCCTTACCGCGAGGACACCGGCGCCCTCTGGCGGGCAGAAGGAAGGGGCGGGGCTGTAGACTACGCGCCGCGAGCTGGCCCCAGTCAGAAACTAGGGCCCCAGGCAGCGCGGAGCACGACACCAGGCCGGGATGCTGCGCAGGGGAGCACCAGCCGGGGACCTCCCCGGGGCCGGAGAAGTCCACACCGGGGTAATGAATCTGGGCTTGAGGGCTAGCAGAGGGATGAAGGAGGTAGATCCGCAGGAGACCCTGAAAGCGACGAGGAGCGAATGAGAAGACTAATAGAAGTGTGAGGATGCGGGTTGTAGCAGCAGTGCTTGCACCTTCGCAGTGAACATAGGGTGTCTCTCTTCCAAAGGAGGTCACCTAGGGGGTCGCGAAGGGACGGGGCTTGTGGAGGGGAGGGTGCTTTGGCTCTTAGCTGGACCCGTCAAGGGGAAGCGGCTCTAAAGCGCTTTCGCTTTCACTCTTACCTAGATAGGGGGCTGATTAAATCAAGAGAGCGGTGGGACGGTACAAAGAGATAGAGAAATGGTGTCCTGAGTGAAGCTGGGCAACATTTGGGAGAAGGGAATATAGGCACTGATTGAGAAGGGTCAACTCATCACACAGAACTTTGATACTCTGGCCCCTGAGTAACTCATAGACTGACTATGGAGGGGTGGGGACGGGTTCCGTGTGAGCCAGTGGTGCTCTTTCCTAGCTTGGCCTAGGAAGGTTCCTGCTTGCCCAAGGTGCTGCCACGCTCCCTTGCCTGTGTCTTCCCTGCCCACTCCTACATGCCTGCTGGGGGACTTTGCCCAGGCTTAGCGCCTAGGACAGATGACAGCCCCAAGGCTGGCTAGCTTCTGCTCCCAGACTATTGCCACCACTCTTGGTTTGGAAGCAGGTCTGTTATAGAGTAATAACCTCTAGCATGGGATTGTTGCTATCCTCTGGCACTTCTATTTATGGCAAATCTGTAGTCAGAAAGCACCTTCAGGTCAATATCCCTGAGGGCCCGAGTAACTATGAGGCGGTGAGAAAAGTAACAGATAGGCCGTTTACAAGTTAGAAAATCTTCCCTTATTGTCAAATGAGCAGTGAAAAGTAGAAATCAGAAGAAGCTATAGGAGTTAGACCTGGGTTAACAGCTCTCCTATTAATTCTGCATAACCTTGGATAAGTCACTTGCCTTCTCTATGACTCAGTTTCCGCATTTGAACCAAACGATCTCAGCAGGAGTAGAGCAAGGGTAACTTTATCCTCCTTCACTCTTCATTCTTCTCTTGACCTGGAAAAGCCAAGTGAAACTCCCCAGTGATAGCCTTTCTTGGTGCAGACCTCCCGTGACTACTTAAGAAATCTGCTTACTCCTGATTAGAAACTCCTTAAGCAAAACTTTTATTTTAAACTCTCTCAAACGTTCTTTGCTGCTTTCCTCCTTCCCTGACTTGGCTCTGCTAACCAGTGGCCAGTGTTTTCCATTGTTCAGTAAACTGAAAGTGCTCACTCCTGACTAAGTAGGGTTGTGGGGTGGAAGATTTGCACCCCTGTCCTGAAAATCTGACATTCTTTCCAAAATTCATAGTAACTTGCTCTGTGTTCGGCCTGTACCTCATCTGCACACACTGGAGCGTGCAGTAAGTCCATTTGATGGAGATAATTCACTCGTGGGGCTGCTTCACGTACATTCATATGAGCCTTTTCCTCAAAGGTAATACTTCCACCTCTAGGAGCCTTACTCCCCCCCCCTTTAGAGTGGAGAGGATTCCACTTAAGGAAGTTGGGGTTTAGGGATGCACTTCTTTCTGTGTTGTGCCACAGCCAGGCTGTGACATTCCCCTGCAACCAAGAGAAAGCAGAAAGGGAGAAAAAAAAATCCCTGTACTGGGAGTCAGCTCTGGCCTGAATTACTTTGTGACCTTGAGGCAGTCATTTCTCATCTCTGGGAGTGTTTCCTCATCTGTAGCATGTGGGAATCAAAGCTCTCCCTGCTCTCATACTCCACTCTGTGTGTCTCTGCAGACAACCATCATGGCAGTGGAGTTTGATGGGGGCGTCGTTGTAGGTTCTGATTCCCGGGTGTCTGCAGGGTGAGTACCAGTCCATGAAGGTGTATGGATTTGGAAGGAAACAAATGGCCCCGAATATGCATTTTTCTTACTCATTCGTGAAAAGACTGACAGACTAGAGCTTTGGGGGAAATGGAGTTGACCTTTCAGGAAGGAGAGGCCACAATAATAAGATATTGAGGGGGTGGTTGGGTCTCTCAAATCTTAGAGCAGGATCTGGGATCTGAACACTTATGTGGCCTGTCCTGGCAGTGAACAGGGATTGATATAAAGGAATAGGGTCTGAGATGAGGTCAGCCCTCCTTCCATCTGTGTTTAGGGATAGAAGAGACGGTTCTGTCAAGCTGATATTCTGGTTTCTCATTTATCACGTGTTGAACTAATTTTGCCTCTTCCCTACACCTGGTCACAGTTTCTTCACACGCAAAATGAATTCATGGGATTAGATCAATATTGCTTACGTTGTATTCCATAGAGCACTAAATGCCCTCAAGATGGTTAATAGCAAAGAAAAATTGATCAGAGGACTATCTTTCTTAACTTCATAACTAAATATTTTTTGTTCTGTTATAAATTTTATCCTGAAAATAAATCTAATTTTGATTAATACTTGCAGTAATTCATTTATCTATGAGATTGTTATTTCTTTTTTCTTTCTGCTTTAATCCAAGCATTAAATTTCATGCACTCTATGGCTGTTCTCTTGTCAAATAAACTTGACAAACACTGAGTAATTCACCTCAAACATTTCTGCCAACTCTAACTTTGATGACTGTTTACTCCTTCTTGGCAGAGAGGCAGTGGTGAACCGAGTGTTTGACAAGCTGGCCCCCCTACACCAACGCATCTACTGTGCGCTCTCCGGGTCAGCTGCTGATGCCCAGGCTGTGGCAGACATGGCCGCCTACCAGCTGGAGCTCCATGGGTACGCATCTCCACTGGCACTGGGGTCCTGACTCCACACCCCCTAGAACTCCTCCAACCTGCAAACCCCTGTACTGTGTCCTGTTCCAGGAGTACTGCATTGGGAAGTGAAAATTTTTTGTTTTGGTTCCAACTTTTATTAGCCTTTAACTGGCACTTGAATCTCTCTAAGCCAGTTTCTGTATCTATAAAGTGGGAATAATAGTACCTACCCTATCCTTCAGGGCTAGGCTCTTTTGTCACCTGTCTCTGGACAGATCTGCCCCACACAGGTTCGTGTCCCAAAGCAAAGCCTTACCCAGAGGACTTGGGTGCCCCCTAATGGGCATGAGGAAGGGGTGGGGCTCCACACCCGGTCCCTTGAAACACTCAGTCCTGTACCACTGTCTGCCTTTTCACGTGCGTGAGTCTTGTCTCGTACCCACATTGTGTGTGTGGAGGCTTCCATAATGCCCAGCACGTTCCTTGGCACTTAGGAAGCTGTTCCCAGGTACTGGAGTAATTGTATGAAACAAACATGATTATTTTGAGAATCAAATGATATATGTGGAAGCAGTTTGAAAACTGTAAACTGCTGCACTAATATAAATAATAAGGAAGAAAATGATGTGGCCCCACCATAATATCAAGCAAAGTTCTTTCCAATTGCCAACGAGTCAGCTCCGACTCATGGCAACCCCACATGTGTCAGAGTAGAACTGTGCCCCATAGAGTTTTCAATGGCTGATCTTTCAAAAGCAGATCACCAGGCCTTTCTTCCAAGTCACCTGGGTGAATTCAAACCATCAACCTTTCTGCTTGTAGTCAAGTGCTTAACCATTTGTACCACCCAGGCAAAGTTACTGTATGGGAAGTCAAGGTCATTGGGGCAGAAGCGCAGCTTATCTGGCTTTACCCCCAAGGGTGGGGTCCTTGCAGACAAAAGGAGTTATGTGATTGGAGGGTGGGGGTGGTCAATTGAACACTTCTTACCAATTGGTGGCATGAAACTTAAGCCTGAGTTTGAACTATTGCATCTATAGGTCTTAGGTCACTTGGCAAGGATAGTAGTAATGGCACAGGAGGTGGAACTTCAGGAAATTATATCAACTCCTATTCCTAACAATTTCTTTAGGATGGAACTAGAAGAACCTCCTCTTGTTCTGGCTGCTGCACACGTGGTGAGGAATATCAGCTATAAATACCGGGAGGACCTGTCTGCACATCTCATGGTAGCTGGCTGGGACCAACGTGAAGGGGGCCAAGTGAGTCCCTCCCAACCCACTTCCTCTCTTGGGGTTCCACACTTCCCGATAGAGGGAGATGGAGGTTGTATGTCATTCAAGCAATGAGTTCCAAAGACATTGCCCCTAAAAACATAGTGCAGAGTCTGAACTGTTGGGGTATGAGGTACTGGGCCTTCATTGCAGAATAGGGAGACCACCTGTTTGTCTCAGTGAGAAGAAGGAGTGGATGCTTCTTTAGTCTGACCTGAGGATGTCCCCCCACTAGGTATATGGAACTCTGGGGGGAATGCTGACTCGACAGCCTTTTGCCATTGGTGGCTCCGGCAGCACTTACATCTACGGTTATGTGGACGCAGCATACAAACCAGGGATGTCCCCTGAGGAGTGCAGGCGCTTCACCACAGACGGTAATTGACCAAGTGGAGGGGAACCTGGGAGGGTTTTTTAAACATGGGAAGGAAATGGATTGTGAGGATCAGGAAGAGGAATACGTGGGTGATCATTTAATATCCCAGCTGGGACACTTTTGAGTGTAGAAGTGGGCAGGACAAATGCTGAACTAGATGGGACTTCAGGAAAACAGCCATAAGCCAGGACTGTCCTGAGTAAACCAAATTAGGATGTATGCTCACCATAAGAACCAGTGGTGTGCTAACACTGGCTTGGGCCAGCTCACAACAGATGATTCGTAAATATTAAGGGATTTTTTGAGTTGCCTGTTAAACTGTTGATAACTGGACATCGAGCATGGTGGGGGTAGTTACACCATAGACATTGGCAGAGGCTGTAAATCAAGGCTTTTTTTCTAAATGGTTTCCCAGCACACGACTAAGTATGCCCTTCTGGGAGATAGGTTTTGAAGTCTGAAAGTGGTAGGACATGTGGACAAGGGAGGAAGGAAAAGACTTTTGAAGCTAAGCCATTCTCTCTCCCTCTCTCCAACTTGAAACTCTCTGCAGCTATCGCTCTGGCCATGAGCCGTGATGGCTCCAGTGGGGGTGTCATCTACCTGGTCACTCTCACAGCCGCTGGTGTGGATCATCGAGTAATCTTGGGCAATGAGCTGCCGAAATTTTATGATGAGTGAATCTTCCTCAGGCTTCCCTTCCTTATTTTGTAATAAACTCTCTGGGACCAGAACCTGGTATGATCAACTGGAAATGGGTGCTCAGGGAGATGAAGCTTAGTGGAGGGGGGCCTCTTCCCTCCCCGATGCCAGCACATTCTTTTTATTCTTTTGTCCCCAGGCCTTTCCCAGAGGAAATTGGGGGGAACTACACTAGAACTAGCCCTATACATGACAGGCCACCATGTACTGAGCAAGTTTGAAATATTAGAAGCAATAAAATCTCATTCTGATGTCTGAGGGATGAGGGTGCAAGTGAAGGGTTGAGACTCATTTCTTTACTGCTAAGACTGGGCAGATAAGACAACGACACACGTGAGAATTAGCTAAGAGTGCCAGCGAACTCACATGTGAAAGAATTCCTTTCATAATTCCTAAATATTTTGGGGACACTTGTAAATTTCAAATTAAGAATAACAGGAACCAGAAAAAAGCTACATTCATTGAGTCAGACATTGACTTTATAAACGTTATCTCTTTGAACCCAAACAAAAAAACCCTAGGTAGGTACTATTATTATTTCTATTTAAAGACAGATGGAGCCCTGGTGGGGCAGTGGTTAAGTGCTACAGCTGCTAACCAAAAAAGGTGGGCAGCTCGAATCCACCAGCCGCTCCTTGGAAACCCTTTGCGGAAGTTCTACTCTGTCCTATAGGGTCACTATGAGTTGGAATTGACTTGGCGGAAATGGATTTGTTTTGGTTTTTTTAAGTACAGAGTGAAGACTTAGAAAGATTAAGCCACTTGACTAGATCACACAGCAAGTTCAGAAGATAGGCTTTAGTTTTACTATATGCCTTTCCTCTCTTGTTGTTGTTGTTAGTTGCCGAAAAGTCAGTTTTGACTCATGGCGACCCCGTATGTATCAGAGTAGAACTGTGCTCCATAGGGTTTTCAAGACTGTGACTTTTCAGAAGCAGATCACTAGGCCTGTCTTCCAAGGCACCTTTGGGTGAGTTTGAACTGCCAGTCTTTCAGCTAGTAGTCGAGTGTTTAATTATTAACACCACCCAGGGATTCCTGCCCTTCCCCTACCACTAAACAGATAGTCCCTGACTTACAACGTGTTTGAGTTACAACAAACTGCACTTTGGCCATCCATTTTTGGTTTTTGTACATCTTATTGTTAGTAATATGTACTACATACAATGTTGCAGCACATTTGCTGATGTCATCATTCTCAGATGTAATCTTTCCAACTCCTAAAGATAAATGAAGATGGGATTTATAAAGATACTGATAACAAAAGGCAATAATAATGAAAACTTTTAAAAAAAAAAAAAGGAGGTATTCATCAGAACCAACTTATGGTAGAGTCATTGGAATGGAACCCCGTCGTAAGTTGGGGACTATCTGTATAAAGTTTCCCATTTGCTCAAGCTCCATATATTATCTCCCCCTTGCAATCTGCACTAAATAGCCCAGCCTTCTCTGACCTGAAGAGAACTGATTCAGTACTTAAAAGCAGTGCTCCACACCCAGGTCCTTGAAACAGCCAGTCCCATCTCACTCTTTGCCCTTTCGTGTGCTTGAGTCTTGTCTACAGTCAGACTGCGTATATGGAGGCTCCCATAATATCCAGCATGTTCCCTGGCATTTAGGATGTTGTTCCCAGGTGCTTGGATAATTGTATTAAACAAAGCTGAGTTCTGGACCTATTTTTGTCATGTCCTTGCTGAGTGACAAGACAAATTATTCCCTTTCTGTAAGCTATCATTTCCTCTTATCTTAAATGAAGGTTTTGAGTGATCGTTGAATTGTTGACTTTACAGCTCCGATATTTAATGCTATTTTGCTTAGAAAACCTGTTGCTGTCGAGTGGATTCTGACTCATAGCGATCCTATAGGACAGAGCAGAACTGCCCCATAGGGTTTCCAAGGAGTGGCTGGTGAATTTGAACAGCCGACCTTTTGGTTAGCAGCCAAGCTCTTAACCACTATGCCACCACGGCTCCATTTTGCTTATAAGTGAGCAGTTAAGAGATACATTCAACAGAAATACTAATAAGCCACCCAGGAAGCTTCTGTCTGCTTTTTGGATCTCCAGCTAAACATATAAATCCAAAGTACTCTAAAACAACCATACACCCTTGGGAGTGTGTGTTTGGTTTGGGGAAAAAAAATCTAAAATTACTAGTACCTCAAGTTTTTTAGAAGCAAGGATGGCAAAACTTCATCTCACATACTTTGGACATGTTATCAGGAGGCACCAGTCCCTGGAGAAGGACATCATGCTTGGTAAAGTAGAGGGTCAGAGAAAAAGAGGAAGACCCTCAACGAGATGGATTGTCACAGTGGCTAGAACAATGGGCTCAAGCATAACAATTGTGAGGATGGCGCAGCACCGGGCACTGTTTTATTCTGTTGTACAGAGGGTTGCCATGAGTCAGAACCGACTCAATGGCACTTAACAACGAGTTGTTTTTAGCCATGATGTTTAATTTAAAAATAATCATTTGAACCTATCTCTCGCACCGATCACAACTAGAAACTCTGGCCAGAATTCAAAAAGCAAGTAGTCGAAGATTCTGAAAAGTAAACAAAAGCAAGTGAATTGTGAAGAGAGTCAAAACTTGGACAAGCAACCCTCCTGGGGGTGGTTTTTAATTTTTTTTCCCTCTGTCATGGGTTCGCCCTGAAGTGAGTCCTCAGTAGCAGAGCTGCACTGCAGTGGCAGCACAAGTGCTGTATCTCCAGGTGAGACACCATCTTCACGGCCAGAGGAACGGAGAAAAGGGCGCCCAAGGGCAGGAGAATGGGAGGAGGGAGTCTTCAAAAGGGAAGGGCTGGTGAAGGGGGTCCCCTAATTCTACGCATGAACCCTCATGAATCATCCCCGAGCTGAACATGAGTGGGACAACCCTAAGCAGCACAGCAAAGACTGTGAGAACTGAACTAAGATTTAAACCTTTTTAAATTAGAAGGCTTAATTTTTCTTTTTTGGTGAAATAACTATGTCTCCCGAATGTCATGAGGAAAGATAATTAAAAGATAAGATAGTTTTAATTTTAAAATGTTTATTTATACCTTCATTCCAAAAAGGGTTTGTAGCAGCTTAAAAGACAGAATTGAAAAAGAAAAAGAAAGAAGGGTGTAGAAATTGGGGCAAAGGGGAAATAAGATTAAGAAAATAAGCGAAGCTAAGGGGTAAAACCAATATACAACATGAATACCTTCTAAAAAAGGCGGAGAGGGCAATGTGCTGGAGCCATTTTATACTGGCTAGAGAGAGCAGATTGTAAAATAGTCAACAATTTTCCAAGCCACTTGTTAACCGTTGACAGCTTGATATTGATCATGGTGGAAGTATTTATACTACAGAAATCAACAATGCTACCAGTCAAGGCTTTTTATTTTTTCACTGGAGAGCCAGTTTAACAGCACACCAATTTATCAGTCAGCGGCAAAGTAGTTACAAGCTTGGCTGCTAACCAAAAGGTCGGCAGTTTGAATCCACCAGCCGCTCTTTGGAAACCCTACGGGACAGTTCTACTCTGTCCTGTAGGGTTGCTATGAGTTAGAATCGACCAGACGGCAACGGATTTGGTTTAGAGATAGGTAATAAACAATTATCTCTGAGCTACAAAATAGTGAAAGCAAAGAAGGAAATAAATTATGTAGAAGACTCATTTAAAAAAAAAACATTGCTATAGCGTCAACTCCGACTCATGGTGACCCCATGTGTTTCAGAGTAGAACTGCCGTCCGCAGGATTTTCAATGGCTGTAATCTTTACAGAAGTAGATCTCCAGGCCTTTCTTCCTTGGTGCTGCTGGGTGGATTTGAACTGCCAACCTTTTGGTTAGTAGTCAGTTGAGAGCGAACCATTTGCACCACCCAGGGACCTAGAAGACTCATAGGATTAATAATTTTGTTTAAAGCCAACAAATAAGCGATATATATATATTTTTTTCAAGGCACACAAAACATTCATTAAAATAGAATATGCATTAAGCCATAAAAGAAACTTCAGTAAATTCCAAAGTATCAATATCTTAGAAACTATTTTCTGCAATCATACTAAAATAAAATTAAAACTTGATAACAAAAGGGATACCCAAAACTCTCATGATTTGTAGTATAACAAAATATTGATAAATAACGTAAGGACTTAAAAGACAACCATAAAAGATATTAATTCACTTAAAATCAGGTGATAATGTTACATATCAAATTTTGTGGCACATAGCTGAAGCAGTACTTAGAATCTTATGGCTTCAAATACACTTATTAGAACAAGAAGGGTTAAAAGAATGACCTAAAAATTCACTTCAAAAATTTG